TTACTACTAGTAAGGCACTTGTTACTAGAAGCGATGCACTTGTTACTGGTAGCGTCCTTGCTCCTAGTAGCGAAGCCCTTTGTTACCAGTAGCTTCTTGATACTAGTAGAAATGCCAGGAGCTGCTACTCACAAATCAAAGGAACCACCAGACATGGACCCTTTCGGGCTAAGTGGGACTTGACAGAGCGACCCAAATGGTGGCCCTTTTTTGAAGAAGAGAATGGGAAAGAAGGCACGGGCACCTTTAATTAAGGGCATCCCTTCAAGGGCCTTATTGGAGGGGCCTTGCCTTATTTTTTTATCTCTGATTCTTATGTGCATTTTTTTGTACAAGCTCCTCACCTTAAACAATAAACTCCCTGTCACCTCAAGGCTTTGCAACCCCACCAATGAGCCGTGACAACTCGTGCACAGTAACAGCGGAGCTTCCAGCTGGGAGGTTTGAAGTGCTCAATGAGTTCAGCGCGTCCTGTCCTGTCTCGCTTCCGAATCGTGAAACGCCGTGCAAGTGGCCACAACAACCGCCCACAAGTTGGAAGACTCGCAGCGAATCCCAAGACTTGCGCAAGAACGATGCTCCTCCCCCTTGGCCACCTCTTCCACAAAGCTTCTTTGTTTTCCTGGTGGTAAGGGGTATGGCGGCTTGTGGAAGAAAATAGACACCTAAAGCATGCTTATTTGTAGTAAGGGGTAGTGATGTCCAAAGTCCAAGACCAAATGAAAAGGTGTTCTGATTCAAGGTGATTTTTTCCTAGCAGCTAGCACAGCCCGCTGAGCTCTCGCTGAGCCCTGTCTGAAGCTTTTGCTGAGTTCCCTAAACGCTATGCACGACTTTGAACTATGATTTTTGCAGGATTCACTCCATTTCATTTTTGCACTGCCAAGCTGTCTTCTGCGTTGGGAGGCCTCACCCTTCGGTTTTGGTCTTCAATGTGCCTCTCTGAGTTCCAGAGCATGCTTCCTTTTCGGTGTCTTCTGAGTTGACACACATACAGACGTGACAAGGAGATCATTTCGACTCACAAGCCGTTTATGAGGAGCGGCTTGGTGTTCGGTGTGTGCAGCTGAGCTGTGGGTTTTGAGTTGGTCAGGGATTGCATCAATGTGGACCCACTGCACCTGGCAAAGGTGCCGCTTCTGTCAGAGACTTGACGATGTTTTCTGGAGGAGTAGTGACACCGATGACGGGCTCGGGTTTTGTTACCGGCTGGTTAAGGCCATGATCTGAAAAGAAACAGAACGGGTGCTCCTGGGAGATGTTTTTCATGCAAAAATGATGCAAAACACTGTGTTTTACAGTGATTTCTTGCAAAATCCTCTCCAAAATTGAGGTTTTGAGCTATTTTTTGAGCAATTTTGTGAGATCCAAGCCTATCCCAATTTAGAGGGAATACCAAAAGACCAAAAAACAAATACTCCGCAGGGAAAATTGATGAGGTGACTTTTTTTTTTATTGCGCCAGGTTTAGGTATCAGGGGCATTCAGGTGTGTTGCGCCATCTATGCGCCCCGTGGCTAAAAAAACAGGAAGATTCTGCATGAGTTTGTGCGCTATTTTGCAGAAAATAGCGGAGATTGGGACCGCTCCATCTATTGCCACAGAACTTGGCCATTGGGCCATATTGGGCCATCTATAGGCCCCAAACGTTTTTTGGGAAATAGGGAAAACTAGTATCCGCACAGACACCCCGCATAATTTTAATTTTCTGCAATCCAAAGACCACTTGCGCCATCTATGACGGCCAAATAGCGAGAAAAAGGAGTTACATGGCGCGGCTGTTCCCGCTATTTCATTTTTTGAGTTGCGCCAACAACTTTCTCCCCGGTGTAAACCAAAAAAACAAATTAAACAATTCAAGTTAGTTAAGCATCACAATTTCCACAATTGATCTTAAATCGACTTTAAACACAATCTGATATTAAATCAAAGCCACCACTAACTTTGAAAAGGACTTAACTAAAATCTAATTGTAAGAACTAGTTTCCACAATGAGTTTTAAAGAGAACTTGGAAATGATGTTTATTGCAATCTAATATCTAATAAATAGCAAATTCCACAATCAATGTTAAAAGGATCTTGATTGAAATCTTCTAATTTAAGTTTGCCTAATTCTATTTTAATTCCAGTTTAGTTAGTTTAAGAACACACATGTTACAAAACCATATATTTTACACGTTTTTTTTGCCCTAGGAGTGCTGGTAATAAGACACAAACTATGTTTTTGAGTAGGTAGTATTTGTTTAAAGTAATCCCTTGGAATAATCATTGCTATATTAAAACTGCTTTATGTACAAACTTCTAATTCAAAAGGTTCCCTCTAGATCTGATCACTTCTGTGAAAAAATATAAAGCTTTCATTTCAAAAGCTTTCCTCTAGATCTCTGGAAATAGTCATGGTATTTTAAAAAAGCTATAAGTATGTATGTAAGTGTTTCTTTCAAATGCTTTCCTTCAATGAAAATACACAAATCTAGGAAATCTACTTTCCCAGAGATCCAGAGGAAAGCTATTGAATCTAGAGATGTATAGTATTATATCTTCATTCTCTCATGATGCTACATTCATTGTGGGCAGAGAGAGATTTACCTGATAATATTTATCATTGGTGTTGCACATTGATAGTAGGCAGACGAAGAGCTGTTATTTGTTGTCATTGACATTGGACATGGAGACTGTGCCCACAGACAGATCAAAAAAATTGCGTTTCGCCTAGTTCTCAGAGCAGTTTTTGAAATTTTGCACGGTATTTACAGTGTTTTCCAAGGGTTTTGAGCTAGTGTGTGCTCTCCCAAGCACACCCACCCTCAAAAGAAACGGGTCTCCTTTTTTTCCCTTCTCTCTTTCTCTGTATAGAATAGTTGGGAGTTGGGAGTGTAGAGGCTTTTGGGAGCGTAGAGGCTTTAGACAAAGAAAGGGTAACCACCATAAAGGAAGGAAGATGAACCAAGAAAACAGTAACCGTTAGAAAACATTCGTGCCACTTGCAACAAGCAGATTGCGAAAGGCCTTTTCAAAAACGTCTCTTTTAAAGAAAGCCGTGGTATGTTGTTCACTTGGGCCAGCGCGCTGCTGCCGGCGGATGCCCACTTTTGAGTCTTGGTGAGTGTCTGCCTCAGACACCACGCAGTCGCGCTGCATGAAGTGTCAGCAATCTTCGAGGTTTATTCCAGTACCCGGGCCTCGGTACCTTCCGGAGCAGGACCTTCAGATGAAAAGGGGCAGCAGAAGCCGGATGCAAATCCTGAAAGAACACTTCGGACTTCGGACGGACTCACAGCACAGCAATGAGCTTGCCGAAATTGAAGGACAAAGTGCTTGCTTTTGCCAGCCCGTTCGGGAGCTCAACTTCCGAGCTCTCAGTCGTGAAACTGATCCTGCCCTGTCAGGTCCTACATTCCTCTGTCCTATGCGCTTCCGACCGTTGAGGCGAACGGCGAACTCAGTGGTCCCTCTCAAGTGGTCCCAACTCCGCTTCCAAGGTTGAAGTCCCAGCCAACTCGATTTTTAGATACAAGGCCAGCTTGTCACAGCCAGCTGTTTCGCGTCCAAGTGTTGCCTTTTAGACAAACCTTGGCAGGTCTTCGCTAAGGACTTGCGCTTAGAAGCAACACGTTTAGCTGTCAGGATGCATTGGATCCAATGCCAGCATGTTTAGGATTTGATGCTGACAATTGCAGCCAGCTCTGGGCAACATCACGTCCATTCTACAGGTACCAGTGGCAAAAACCATAAAGCGGTGTAAGCCTGCGCGGCGGATTCTGCAATGATCTTTCATCACAGACCAGTCAAACGACCGCCACTTCGCAGACACTTTCGCATACAAGAGATTAAGAATCGCAAAGCTGTAGCCACGGCAAAGTTCGGTGGGTAGGGACGGATGAACAGTTTTGTACGGTGATTAAGGTCAACATGCATCAGGCTTTCCCGGGAAATAAGGGGGCATTTGCAAGGGAAGGATCAAGGAACCGATCAGGGACCAAGAGCCAACGGCCAACAGCAAGGGAAGGGGATTGCAGTGGTCATTTGTCGAGACCCAAGGTTTCCAGGGTTGGTAGCCTTAAAAGTGGCAATTCTGAGGCGCTTTTGGAGGGCATGGTTGTGAGGGACTTGCCCGCGCAGGCATGCGGGTGTTGAACTTGCAGAATTGGTTGGCACTTCAAGCTTGGCGCTGTCATGGAAGAGATTACACTTTGGAATATTTTGTGGGCCTTCAACTTCTTCATGATCCCGGATTGCTTGAACACTTGTAGCACACAGGATTCTCTTGTGCAAGTCAGACTTCAGAACTTTTCTATGGAGAGAAGGGAACGCCATTGATATTGCAGATGCAATGCAATTACTGGATTTGATTTAAATTTACACAACTTCTTCCTACGAATTTGCAAGTGGGCCACCCCCCAACAAAGAATACGTACTGTGCCTTTGGATGGGACGGTCTCCATGCCGTCAGCGCCCAACTGTGGGCCACCGTAAAGGACAAGCTTTTGGCGAAGCCAACGCTGCTCTTGCATGCGCTGAACTCAGAAAAAAGATCCTTTTGATGTTTAGGTGATCGTTCAATCTAAAAGACAACAGGTGTCAAGAGTACGAAGAATGTGAAGCGCTTTGTTAGCAGATTTCTGCTCTTCCGCAGGAAGCACACACAGACACAAACACACACTGCTTCTTTTTCTTTAACTTTAACCTTTCTTTTTGCAACCTTGAGGCTCCCACCAATCCGAGGGTGTCTGCTCTCGCTGTTGCCTCAGTGCCGCCTTGGTGCCATGGCGTGACGTGTCACAGACGCTCAGGTCAGTCCGTTGTGGCAATTCAAGGCCCAGAGGCTCAGACCGGACTTCTTTCCCAACATGAATCAGAAAAAGATGAGAATAAAAGAACATATAAACGGTGGGCTTTGCAATATATGTAATATACCCCGGCTTGGAAAGAAAAGCCGTTGAATTTCCCAAATGTTTTTTCGAGAATTATTGGATATGGCTATATACTCCTACATTTTTGAATCGTGTTTTTCTTTAGACCTCTGGACCTTTCCATTTCTAAATTTTTCACTTACGTTTCTCAACTAAAGCTACTCGGGAATGAGCAAAGGAGTTGGATGCCAGCTGTAGTGTTGGGCACCATTCACAATTCTAATCGCTGCGATTCGTGATGCCTTGTGCACCATGGTTTGAAGCTGTTGTTTTTTGAAACTGTATGCCTGGACTAACTTTCTAAGCTAAAACGAAAGGCTGTCGGCTGGACGCTCATAAGTTTGACAAGCCAAGGTGGGGTCCCGCGGCGAGCTCTACTCGCGATGGAAACATGACAGCCGGTTCCTCCTTGAAGGCCTTGGGTGGTGTTGAAGAAACGGAAGGGGCGTCATGGGCAGTTATTCATGCTCCTCCATCGAAGGAAAGATATTCCCTATTGAAAGCTCTGGTAGAATATTGTCCAGGAATTCCAAAATGTTACTTATTATAACAATAAACAGCCACTCAGCCACTTGTGATTTATTCGTTCAATTCTTTTGGCAGGCTATCTGAAATGGGTCCCCAATACTGCCCATGACGATGTGCGTCGGGCACCCAAGCTATCCGTCTTGTGATGAATTGGAGCGTTTGGAGCCGAGGCATGGCTTGGCCTCCCATGTGAGGTTTCGGCGTTGAGCGCCCAAAACTGATGAGAGTGCGTATGCTGGCGTATGCTGTGCACCAACTTTACTAGCAGTTTCCTGGCAATTTTTCTTTGGGAGAGGTGGACTATCTCACCAGCTCTTTGTCCCTGTTCATGACGCCATGGTCCCTTTTCCCCCAACGGGTCTTCAGCCATAGTATATAGACTTTGGAGCAGGTTCCGAAGCAGGCTCTGGAGCAGGTTCAGGAGAAGGTTCTGGAGGTTCCGGAGACTGGGACCAGCTTGCCACAGGTTCCGGAGCGCTTTGCAGATACATGGCGTATAGTGCCTCACATGCCGGCCTTTTTGTCATGCTTGTACATGTTGACATGCCATCAGACTACCGTGCGGCCTTAGCCAACCTGCTATCATGCAGTTTTCTGACCCTCTGAGGTGTTGCCACGACAAGCTGACGACATGGTGCCATGTTTGTGTGTAGTGCGTGTAGAATGCTGTCACACATTACGCTGATGTGCCGGCGTGGTGTCACACCCTCACGTTGTCAGGCTGTCAGGCTGACAAATGGTCATACAAACGCATGCCACTTGTTTTAAAGAAAACTTGCACATCTCGCAAATTCATTAGCAATTGCCAAATGTTGCCATTGCTAAATCGTCAAATTCATGCCCAGCTGTTGAGGATTTTTTTGGGCCTATGTTTGATCCACTCCATGGTCATGTCGTCATGTTCCGCCCAAAAGCAAGTATTGGAGGACTCTGCCTTCTTTGGTCTGTAGTGTTGTCTTAACCTCGGGTCATTGGCCAATGGCCACTTGAACATTTCTGATTCTGTGTGCAAGAAAACCATGCAGGGTAGTTCGTCCAAAGCGACCCCTGGCGATTGAAAGTGTGAAGGGCTCTTTGGGCTTTGCGGGAGGGCTGAGTCAGTGTCATCGATACCAGATCATTCCACTATTTTGGAAAGTATGCTCTTGGCCAAGCATTCCAGCATAGGCTTGGCCCCACTTTATTCCAGAGAGGGGGGGCAGGAACCAGTTTTCCTTTGCAATTCTTCGCGCACCTCCGTCTTGAGACTTTGGGCCGCTTCCAGCCATTCTCGTTACTAACTGACTTGTAACCTCTCTTTGGTGTTCCTGCCCCATACATTTCTCAACTCTTCCTGGTACCTTGCGGTGCCTCCCAAATCGCTGGATCTATTCTTTTGTCCCTTGTGCCATTTGCTCGGTGAATCTCTTGCCCTGCTCAGAACTAGACGTTGGATTTGAGGTATGAGTCAGCTTGACAAAGAACATGATGTGCTTTGATCAGGTGAATGAATGTTGATATGTTGCATCACTGGTGCTGGTTTTGGCTGCAAGATGGTGGAGAAGAGCTTCACCACTAGGCTGCGCAGGCGCTAGAGTGCAGAGACACACTCCTCGAACCCTTTCAAACATTTTCCAGCCCATACCCAGCCCATGATGCTCCAAGTTCATGGAGCTCACATAAAGAGCTTTCTTCCCTCACCGAATGTCGCACTAGTAGCTTGACGTCGGATTGAAGATTCACATTCACAACCAGTGCACCCACCTGCAATGCATTTCGTTTCGCCCGTTTGCATGGAAACCATCACAGTGCCATTGCGGTGCCTTGACCTTAGCTGTTTGGAAAGATTCCGGCTCCAAGTGGTTCCCTTACATTGTGGCCATGTTGTGTTTGTTGTGGGGTTGGAGCAGATTGCTTTCATCCTAAATTGACCCTGAGGTGAAATTTGAGCAATGTTAGTTAACGATGTCTGGGGATGGCCTCGGTGCTGCAGCTCAGATTTGTCGAAATCATTTCGTTTGGATATGGCAGAATATTTGAGAACCTGTTTGACAACATGGCACATTTGCAGGTTACGAAATCCTCGGAGCGGTCAAGGTCAAGGTGTGACGTGCTATGAGTGCCAACTGCACACTTGTTTACAGTCACCGCCAGCCACCCTTTGATTAGGTTTTGAGTGTAGATGTCGAGGCAATTGCTTCTAGGTTGGAGGCTATAGGTTGGAGGCCATCGCTACTAGGGTGGAGGCCATGGCTATTAGGGTGGTGGCCATCGCTACTAGAGTGTTTGAATCATCATGCCTGACTTGATTATTTGTCGATTGAGGGTTCGATTGTCCAGGATGGCCTTTTTGTCGGTGACGCACTGGCAGCGCAGGACACTGAGGGTCTCAGAACTGGACTCTAATGGCCTCAATGTGAAGCGCATGCCTGCACTTCTGCACCGTATCCGCCCATATCCATGACACCCGAAACAAGTTCGCTACTAGTAACAAGTGCATCGCTACTAGTAACAAGTGCCTTACTAGTAGTAACAAGAAGCTAATAGATTCTTTGCTAATTATAATTCTTATTGAGTCAAAGAGCCCCCTGCTCATGTTTGCCTTCCTGTACATGAACTGTGCATTGCCACCGGCCGCATCTCAGCTGAGCTCAAATTACCAACGGCCGTGCCTGCCATGGCTTCATGCCAAAGGCATATGGACACAGGCAGCATGAAAGTCATGTCGCAGTCATCTGAGAGTTGCAGTGTGAAAGCCATTGATGCTTTTTCCATGCTGCTTGACAGGCAGTGATGTCGTACGTAGGGACGCCGCTCAGCTGAGATTCTACAGCTGGCTGGTGCTGCCTGCGCTGCTGTTTTCCTTGCGGCCTTGTGGTTCAGGTTTGAGTTAAGCTGCTTTCTCTGGAAGTCGCTGGCATTTCAGGAATCTTTATGTTGCCGGCCTTCCGCCAGGCTGGCGTAGCTGGTTGGTTTTGCAAGTTTAGAGCTCCCAATCCTTGACGTGTGCTGGCACAAAGCTGGTACAAAGAAGCCTTGAGTTGAGAATGCCCAAGTGGCACTAGTCACGTTCGCCAACTGCTTTCTTGCCACATGTTGCCACCATTCATTCCGTTCAATCGGCTACAGTTGGATCTGAGCTCATGTGTCGCTCCAACTTAGGCTTCAACGATGCGCACCTCTTTCAGCTCTTTGATCGATTTGGCCGAATTTGGTCGTCCAGGGTGGGGGGCTCTGGATCGATTTGCAAAATGGACGGCCACCAGCTTTGAAAAAGCCTTGTGTCTTGGACTCTAGTAAGCTCTAGCAGTGCTGAACAGGTGTGCCCATCTAGAAGATTTGGCGGCTTTGGCTATGCTTTTGTCAAGTCCCTTGCTGAGTCCTTGCTCAGTCTCTCATACTTCCCCCGAAGATGCTGAGATATGGCAAGTTTTAAGGTATGGAGACCCATCACATGCAGCGGCGGCCGTGCGAAACTTGAACGGGTTCGAACCCAAGCCTCAGGTTTCATTTGCTGTGAGTATGCTGAAATGTGTCAACTCTGGAGCCTTGCAGCTGAGGTATGATGTCGGGGGTGCATGCATCACAGTCGCGCGCTTGTAGTATAAGCAGAAAAGGAAGACTTGGAAGAACGCAGGAAGAAAAAGATCGGTCTAAAGATGTGGGTTGGAGGCCACCACTAGTTGTTTGGAGGCCATCTGTGGTAGGTTGGAGGCCATCTCTAGTAGGTTGGAGGCCACCACTACTAGGGTGGAGGTGGGTTGGAGGCCATCTCTAGTAGGTTGGAGGCCATCGCTTCTAGGTTG